GGGTCCGGACAAGATCTGGAAAGAAGTTCCGAAGAAGCACAAGAGGAAGAAGTCTGGGAAGGGATCAGACGAGGAGGAAGAGGAGGAGCAAGCCGAAGACGAGCAAGAGGACGAGGGGGGTAGCGAGAGCAAGAGGAGGGTTGCCTCGCCAGCGGAGGTAGAAGAATCTCGCCGGGCGGGGCTCAAGGACGGGCGTCAGCAGGGGGGAGGGTCGCCGATGCCGCTGCTTCCGGCGCCAAACTTAAGCGGGGGGGGGGGTGAGAACATCCCAACCTCACCGGAGAGCGTGGCCCTCTCCGGCAGCGTCGGTGCGCGTTCTTCTCTCGCGCCAAGGGGGAACCGTTTGGACGGCCGGCAACGCCGAGGGACTCCCTGGGAGGCTCGCCCGCCTGCGGAAGCCAGCCCACTCTTGAACTCTGTCATTCCTTGGCTGGAGCCTATGGAGATGGGCAACGACGGGGACTGGACTTTCGGCGGCGGCAGCGGGCGCTTCGTTCCGGACCCCAGCAGCAGCAGTCCCCGCGGCACGGAGTCGGATACGAGCACTTTGATCCACCTCGGCGGCGGGAGTGGAGTGCGCGGCAGCTCGGGGGGGATCTCTGACCAGCCCTCCAGTGCAGTGCTTGTCGGACGGTCCGGCGGTTCTTCTCCGCTCCACTTCGGCAGCGAAGACACCCCCTCTGAGTACCGGAATGGGGCCTCTTGGGGCACGTCCCCGTTGCCAAGTTTCGACAGCAGCACAGAGTGGGAGGAGATGCTGCCGGAGCTACCCGAGCTAGCGACCGCAGAGGCTGGGAGCATGCTGGGAGCAAACGGCGCGTCGCACAGCCAGCAGGTGGACTCCCGGGGATCCCTCTCCCCGGCCCAGGCCGTCTTTACCGGGCACGAGGGAGACTTGTACGATCCGTTGCCTCCGGCCACCCCCCAGAGCAACACCGCCTTCCACGAGCTGCCGCGTGGGGCTCCTGTGCGCGAGGGCCATGGGGCGCCTGCTCGTGTCCTCGGGCAGTCCCCTCCGTTCCGGGGAACTGCGCTCCAATACCAGGGCGGTCTGGACCAGGGGACTCTCCAGCCAGGCGGTTTGTACCCAGGACCAGTCCACCAGGGTGGTGCCGATCATGGAGCGGTTCACCAAGTTGGTCCGTACCAGGTGGCTTCGGTCCAAAGGGGTCCGTACCAGACAGCAGTTCACCAGGGCGGTGCCAACCATGGAGCGGTCCACCCAGGTGGTACGTACCAGGAGGCGGTTCATCCAGGCGGTGCGTACCAGACGGGGGTTCACCAGGGCGGTGCGTACCAGGAAGCGGGCCACCAAGGAGGTGCGTACCAGGGAGCGGTTCAACACGGCGGTGCGTACCAGGGGGCGGGCCACCAAGGAGGAGGACACCAGGCAGCAGTTTACCAGGGCGGTGCTCATCGAACAGCGGCCCCCCAAGGTGTTGCGTACCAGGTAACGCTTCCCCAAGGCGGTACGTACCAGGCAGCAGCCCCCCAAGGCGGTCCGTACCACCACGGCGGTGCGAACCATGCGGCATTGCACCAAGGGCTCCTCCCCCACGCCCACACTGCGCCGCTGTTGGAACCCACCCCCCAGCTGTATTACGACCAGTACCCGCTGTCGCGCCCCCAGCCACAACATCGACATGCCCGGTCGTTGCCTCCCGCGGAGCCGGGACACATCCGGGCGCCTCTTTCCCCCGGCCAAGGTCACCGCCAGGCGGAGCCCATGATTCAGTACCCCGGGCACAGCAACGTGTTTCCCGGGGGGCAGCCGTGGGATGAGAGGGGCGGCCCGGGGGCAGCGGTGCCTCCGGAAAGGATGCAAAGATTCTCCGTGCCGAACCCTGTGAAGCTTATGTCCGATTTTGGCCGTAAGTTCAAAAAGTCCGCCTCTTCACCGCGGGGTGCCGTCGCAGAACGCGGCATTCCGCAAGGTGGCCCCACTTTCCAGGGTGAGCAGCCCCCCCAACTGCGTCATTACTACTCAGACCCCCCAAGGTCCGCCCACGTGGATCCCCGAGCGGTCCATTACGCCCAGGACCGCCATCCAGGTCCGTCGCCCACGTACGCCGGCCAGTTCCGGCCCCCCGTTCCGGTCATGGCAGCCCACACAAATCCGGCAGACGAAGCGAAGCCTGGCTCCCCCATGGAACCGTTCCCCAGAGCCAGAGGGATCCCTCCGGGAAGAGAACGGGGCGCGGGCGCGGCTGCAAGTGCGGAGAGCTTGGTGCGCGACATGCAGGCACTCAGCCTTCGGCCGGAGCCTGTTCACACCCTGCCACACGGGACGGCGGGGGCTGGTGTGAAGCCGGGAGTGCGCGCAGCGCCGATTGCGTCGGACGACGGAAAGGCGCACCGGGTGACGGCGCCAGTCCAGACCGACGCTGGCGGTCTGGCAGGCGCAAAGGCGCCCGCCAAAGCGGACGCTGTTGGGGCTGCGGACAGATCGGACGGTCCAGAGAGCGTCGCCAGCGCTTTGGCCGGTGCGGACGCTGCGGACGGCGCCACGGAGACGGAGGAATCGGACGGTGAGTACGAGTCCGACGAATCTTCGGACGGCGCTGAGAGCGACGAGGAGTCGGACGACGGTGACGTCACCACGGACGCTTCGGGCGACCAGTCGGACGGTGCGGACGTGGCGGAGCGGACGGTGCCCGGCCCTGTCGTCACAGGTGAGATTCCGCTCTCACGCTTTTATCTGCTTTCCAGAGGACGGGCTTCGAGCGGACTGTTTGAAAGAGAGTGGGAGCAGAGTGCTTAGGAATGTTCAGCAGGATGCTGTTTGCTGAGGCTGCGTAGAAGCTTGTTGGCTCCTCTAATGTCTTGGAGGAGCTTGATCGCGGTATCCTCCAGTCACGCTTTGAAACTTCTCAGAGAGCTGACGTGTCGGACGTTGTCCGCCACTCCTACACGCGCCCCGTGTCAATCTCCCGTCAGAGCGTCCAAAAACGAGTAGCTGTCTTTACATCCATCTCTGTCCCCACTGCTAGCAATCTCAGTAGGCTTGAACCGATTGCTCTCCACTGTGGCACTTCAGAGACGTCTCCTACCGTGCTGGCGGCTCCGGACGTTGCCAACGGTCCGAATGCCCACTCGTACGCGCACGGAGAGCGGCCCGCCGGCGTTTATCGCAACGCGCCTGAAGCCGCGCATTGCTGTGGGGCACATCATGTGGTGACCGGTGAGTGGACCTTTCTGTGTCGGTGCCGCGAAATGGCTCCTGGGTTTTGAGGCCCAAGGGCGACCTTTCACGAAAATCTAACATCGGTCAATCTCGTAAGTAGACAGGCTTCTCAAGATGAGCTTGCGATTGTCCGTTCCGTCTGCTTGCGCAGCTCAATGACTCCTATTGTTGTCGTAAGTAGTCTCTAGCAGCTACGAAGGAGATTACTTCTCAGGTAAAGTTTTCAGCCTATCATCCCGACGTTATGCGAGCCTTAGGAATCTGCTGTACAAGTGAAAAACTGACACGAAGACCCATCTCGATACCGCCCTGTAATCCGTGTCAGAGTATTCTGGATTCATCTTCGAGTTAAGCCCTTTCTGCCCGCTGCATGCGACTCGTCTACGCACGCCCCATCCAATGACCGCTCAATGTAGGTTCGCCGTGAAGCCTCAGAGCAGTGCGCTATCCTTTGACATCGAAATTCAAAAGTAAACTGAAACTTGAACCGTCTCTGAACATCAAAAGCAGACATGTTGTTTCCTTATCTTCAGGTGCTACACCCGCTGCCAGGAACATCAGCAACTCGGACAACCCCGCCGTCGCGGAAGGCTTCCAGCAGTGCCACGTGGCCAACCCCCACCCGGGGAACGGAAAATGTTCCGGGGACCGCGGCGCAAAGCTGCCGCCCGGTCGAGCTTACAGGCCCCCGATGGGCGTATCGATCGGAACCGGCGATTTGGGAGGTAAGGCTTATGACATCTATCATCTTGCTTCTTGCTTTCAGTTGGTCAGCAATTGAGCTGTCAAGTTCCAGATCACTCCGTTTTTCGACTCCTCTAGTTTTGCGGCTTGGGTTATGTGTCTGAAAAGAGCCGCTGTAGATTAATCTGCAACGCAAGAGGCTTCAGGTGAACGTCGGTTTGACTTGATTAGTTTTGAGGGCAGATTCGCGATTGTGGGACCTCGAATGCCAGGTCCTTTCTCTGAGATGCAGGATCCGGCCTCTGGTTACTGTAGGCAACTCTCATGTTCCTTGAGCGGACAATTCTCCCCTTACGCAAACGCCCCGCAGGCCAACTCTGCTTCATACCAAGACAACCTGATCAATTACTGCTCCGACAATTCTGAACACTTAGAGAAGATAGAAAGGGTCGGAAGTCCGGAATGTCCATAGCTGCTTTCCGTGTTATTCCAGCTTACGAACCCCTCCCGGCCCCGCAGGTTTGTCAGCAATTGCGGCAGCAGGCCTTCCGGCGGGCGGCTCCGGTAACGGAACGACGGCGAACGGATGCGGACCATGGGTAGGCGTCCCGGGCCCGCACTCCGGGCAGCGGGGGTCCGCTTCAGGAGGGGCGTCGAAGAGAGTCTGCGACGAGAATCTGAGCGAGCGCGCGCGCGCGCAGGGGAGCGCGTATGAGGACGGACGCACGGAGAGTCCGGCGAGCGTGCTCTTCCAGCCAGGGGTCATGCAAACAATAAAATTTGACTCTTGAATTGAGGTGATTGGTCCTCGGGGGAAGAAGAGGGGTGATTGAGGGTGATTTATTGGTGTCATAAAGTACGGAGCCATTTGAAACTGACGGGAGCGGTGCATAGCGGGGACCGTTGCTGCAACAGGGAGGGGTTGAGAGGAGCGGTTCATTGAGTTGTCTTGCGACGTTGACTTGAGTGAGTGAATAGGGTCAGGGCACTCGTCGACCAGATGATGGGACGCTTGTCGAGCAATGACGTCATTGCGGCCCACTTTCGAGCTCGTAGGTCCGAAATATAGAAGGTTGATACATGGTTGCAGCAATGCAATCTCGTTCAATAACGGTCAGCTTTTGGGTTGCTTAACATAGGTGCCATCAAAACCGTCTCGTGTAGATTATGTCAGTTGTTAGTTTCCGTGTATGGTTTGCCAAAAAGGATGATTGGTTCGGTTCGGAATGAACAAGGCCTTTCAATGCACCTAGGGTACCCCTGCAAGGTGTAAGTTGGCAGCTGGTCAGCGTCTAGCTAGGACCCACATGTACGCCTAGGGACCGTACAGTGAAAAAAAACGCGGATTGACATTTAGTATATCAAAAGCATAATGAGGCTTCAGCGGTGAGGTACTAGAATCATGGGGCATCCGAGCCTAGGGACATCAGATAGTCTAGAGTGTGGGTTGAAAGAACTCGTCCAGCGTGAGCCTTTGCAGAAGAATAAGTTAGACAGCTTGCCGACAAGAGTGGAGGCGGTCGTATGTATTTGAGTACTGCTGTCATGATCTAGTGCCGGACATGAGTGGTACGGTCGTTCTATTCAATTTCAGGCCGCCCTGCATGCCCCACATTGACTGGTAGCAGCCATCAATTATGACGGTATCATTGAGCCCCAACCGTTTGGCAGGTAAGTTTCTCAGTGCTGTGAGCCCGGGCCCAGCCGGAGTTGGTTTGTTAGTGCAACTCCGCCACTCTTTGCTGATCGGATGAACTTACAAACGGTCGCGTTGCATGAACCCGGGAACTGCATCCGGCGCTCGCCCGCCATTTTGGACGGTCTGACCTCGCTGCAGCGCATCTTCAGCTATGAGAGGCCGCGGCCGCCGCGGGGCGCGATCACGTCCACGACGACACTTGCGTGGCCCGCCCTGTGCAATTGTCAGTGTGCGACCACTCTCCCGAGAGTAATACGAGTCAAGAAATCCCTTTGCAGAGTCAACTTCCGAATGGTGGCGCAAGCCTATCATATAGTATCAGCATAATTAGCACCGGCATAACTAATACGTCAACCATTCCCACTCACTAGTTAGCCGCCGTTTATGACAGACTGCAACATGTGCATGTGGCGGCGGCAGCTCTAGCCTGGCCGCGCTGCTATAGTGACCGTCAGCCATGGCGCCGCGGTAGTGCTGTCAATCTGCGTGGCTATACGGCTAGTAAGTATGTTCAACAACACGGTGGCCTCACAACAGCCTAGCGGATACAGTAGCTCGGTAGCGCAGCAAGAACGCCAAGCCGGTATACCACTTGGTAGGGCCGCCCAAGACTGAAGGGAACTTTTGAGCATGTGATTCATATCAGTTATGATGATTTCATGATTCTACGATGATAACGTGCGCGCGTGCCAGAAATTTGTCGATTGATATCATATATATATATATGGTGATTGCACAACTCTGATGTTATTGCCATTGAGTAATTAAGTCTCTTGGCCGGTGAGTTGTGTACCATATGATTTTGCCTAAAATGTGAGCTTTGGTTCAGGCCAGGCGTGTTGGCATGCGCAGACCAGGGAATCTTTTAGATATTCCGGTTTCCATGTATGCGTATGTACTATATACTAATTCAGTTTTGCAGAATTTTACAAAGCGTCTGGCCCAAGTAGGTAGATTGATACAGGTCACGATTCGAACATGGGCCCGTTGTCATTCGTTCATGCACCCGACCATTATAGCTCCCGGCCAAACCCCAGCTAGTTGACGTCACCGGAGCTACGACCGAAGAACGCACAATCGTTTCTATCAGGCCCGTCGAGCTCGTGAGTCGCGGCAACCGAAACAAAGATTGAATGTGCTTTTAGGAAGGAGTCCTGGACCCGGCAAACGATATTGTGGATAATGCTGCATCCGTCATGTGCATGATTTGTACCAGCATACACGATCGACTGAATCCAATCAATAACCACATGCAGGTATAGTGCATCAACCGCACATGATCACCGCGTCCAATATTTTTATGTTCAGCTTCCGTCCGACCAGACCATCCTATACTGCAGTATTCCACGACATACGCTACAGATGCCGGTAATGTGCAAGTTTATGGAATTGTTCCTGTTCGGCGCTCTACTCTACGCTTTCTTCCGTCCCTGTCCTCGATTAAACGAGCCCTGCTCAACCCGGGCGTCCTAGCTAGTTATAGACGCTGACCGGCTGCCAACTAATAACTTACAAAAACACTGGCTCGTAAGATTGTTGTCCATTGTAACCAGCCTATCAAACCACGTGACGTTGTTTACGCCTATTTCGAGGCTAATTGCTATTAGGTATACAGATACATACCGTACGTCACAAGGGACAATCTCAAGCCATACTACGCGCCTACGGTGGTATGTATTTGGGGCCACTCAAATCATAGTTAATAAACCCCAAACTGACAATGCTACGAGCTACGGACCCCAAATGGGGCGGCAACCTAACGTCATGGCTCTACTGCCAGGTATTCTTTTGAGCACAGCAGCCTTGAGCAATTTCGCCCTCCGTCTAGTCAGCTATGAAACCCTTCAAAGGCACTCGTTGCAGCCTGCCCCTCCAACGAAACGGCCGCTGCGCATCGGTGCTTGGACGTCTGTGCGTTTTGTGACGACGACCAAACACGCCAACAACCTGACCACACACCCTATTTACCCCTATAACCAACCCGTATGACCATCTCGCTTCTAGCCCGTTGCTTGCATCACAATTTCCTTCCCTGGCTGGAAGAGCTCTGCAGCCACGGGGGGAAGCACGCTGGACGGGCTATCCGTCCGCTTATGTCCGTACGCGCGCTTTTGCCCGCGCTCGGCGTAAACTCTCTTCGGCGCCCCTCCTGGTGCGGGAGCCCACCGCCCGTGGTGCGTCCCCGAGAGGTCCGCCGATGCCGTCGTTCCGTTCATGGTTCCGTCAGCCGGAAAGTCGGCTGCCGCTGCTGCTGACAAACCTGCGAGCCCCAGAAAGCTTTGATCTCTTCAGTACAGAGCAATGGAACACCGGACGGGCCTCTTGCGTCTTCTGATCCTTGGAGTTTTTGGAACGTTCGACTCTAAAGATCGTAGAAGTACGGGGAGAAGAACTGCCTCGCGTCTGAGTAAACCAACAAGAGAAGCAACAGCAGAATGCCCGGGATTCGATGGTTTGTTTTGTAAGTAGACGACGAAAAGAAGGTGAACGTGGGCGACTCATTTCATGGGTCTCAAGAGGCTCTACTAGAGCGGGTATCCGACGGGCGTTTACTTACACTGCAGATTTGTCAGGCTCAAAACAAGAGCAGCTTCGTAGGTTGAGAGTTTTGGAGGTGCGGACAAACCGGGGACCGAGTAAACCAGCCAGGCTGTTGGACCGTCCGCATCCAACAGGGTGGCGTTCGAAAACGGCTTACGGCTTTCGCTGTGCAGAAGAGCGGCACACGAAACGCAGGCCGGACCAGACTTGCAGAGGATTCCGTAGCGTGAAGGCTCTGAGCGCTTGCGCCCGCTCGGAGAAGTGGAGTCTCTATAACCCGAATCGTACCCCAGCACTGAAAGAGCCTCCAACATTCAAACAACACGAGCTTTCAAAGTCTCGGATTCTGGATCATTCCCAGACTGCCAGCCGGAAATAAAAGCTCACCGTTCGCTGCCCCTGGCATTTCGCCCACTCCGGTTGGTCTGCAGCTTGTAAACTGAAGCGGTCGGGTGATCTCCGTTGCGGTCGAACGAGCCTGGAACGCTCAACGAGACGAGCTTTCAAAGTCTTGAAATTCTGAGTCATGCTCAGACTGCTAGGGGAAAATGAAAGCTCACTCTTCCTTGCCTCTGGCACTTCGCCCACGTCGCTGGTTTGCACCTTGTAGAGTGAAGCGGCCGGGTGGTCCCGGTTGCGGTCCCCCGGGGAAGACAAGCGGACTCCGGGTTTGGGCTCCGCCTGGCAGCTCCGCAGGAGCTCGGGAGCGGAGGTGCTCGGGGGGCTGTCCCAGTTGGGCGCGGTTGTCGCACCTGGAAGGAAGGAAAAGTATGCTTCAATAAAGTAGAGATCTTTCGATTCTCTGAGATTGTAGCACCTGGAGAGAAGGGAATTTATGCTTCAATAAAAGTGAGATCTTTCGGTTCTCTGAGATCGTCGCACCTGGAAGAAAGGGAAAGTATGCTACAATTAACGTGAGCAATTCCGGTTTTTGGAGAGTCCTAGAAAACGTCGAAGTTGAAGGCCTAAGTCGAACAGATTGGACAGGGAGGAGGATTGCGACGCCCAAACGGGTGATCGTGTTTCGTGTTGTACGCGGGTTCCTTTAGCAAAGCCGTTCTTGCGCCTCAAAGATACCTGGAACCAACATTTGACGAGAGTGTGCCTAAGACGGGAGTCACGCCTTGCGTCAGCATAAAAGCTGCGCATGCTTCGCGGAGCTAAAAACGGCACAGCTGCGCAAAGGAACCCGACATATTGAACGACTACGTGACCAACCGGCATAAAGTCTCGTATCACAACTTGACCCAGATCAAAGTTTTGGAGTCCGCTTCCGCTCTCATAAAGCGGACCACAGAATCCCAGCTCCAACGCAAACGAGCCACTCACCGGTTCCAATCTTCCATGCCCCGGTCCCAGGCGCAGCTTGAGGCGCCTGGCGATGGGTGACCGGGGGCCGTTCCCCGGGGACGTGCGCACTGCCGTAAGCACCGGCGTGCGTCCCGTCCGGGGATCTGGAAGACTTATCTGAATGCAAAGTACAACGCTACTGGTCGCGGAACAGAAGTTGGCCAGCTGTAAGAATCTCGTCGGATACGGCTGCAATGATTGTGCTTTGAAAGTGTCGACGCGAGAAGGACAGATGGCTTGAGGCAGGGGTGGCGAGTGTTTGTGCGACACGTCAGCAGACTGTGCAGGGAACTTCACGACGAGAGAGAATGTTTACGTTGCCTCTTTCAGGGGGTGATCAGGAAACGACAAGCGCCGTACGACACACTTTCGAGCGCTCCCGCCTGACTTTGATAGAGCCGGTCAAAAGCGGTGAGCTTCTTCCGTCTCAAAACAACCCACAACCAGAACAAAACATGAAAAGAGAAAACTCTCTTCACCTTCGCTTGTGACGACAGCGCTGCCTGCCGTCGGCCCGGTGCCGCAGGGCCCGTCCGACTCGTCGCCTGAAGCGTCCGATTCCCACTCGGACTCGTCAGTGTCCGAATCGTCCGACCTTTCGTTACCCTCTGCGCCGTCCGATGCCTCGTCGTTGTCGCCGTCCGCACCTGCCGCGTGGCGTCCGCGTCCCAGAGGGATTCCTCTGGCTCTGGGACAAGGATGCTCGGTCGCGTAGTCTTCCAGCTTCAAAATCTTGACGAGGGCGGCAAGTTCCGCCTCCAACTCTTCCTCCCCCTCTAGTTCTCGTCCTCGGGGCGGGTTCGAGGCCCTCTTCATCGACGCATTCCGGCGGAAGCGGGCGGAGAGCGACCTCACAACGGAAACTTGCCGGCGGAACTGGGCGGAATGCACGTCGCTGGGCTCGATCTGCCGCTCTGGCCGCAAGAGCGCCGTCTTCGCGGGCACCGGGTGCAGATGGGGGGGCTGCGGAGCCCAGTAAGTGCCCCCCACTCCCGGCGACCGAGCAGAGGGGTCCCTCCCGAACGAGTTTCTCCGGCGGAACTGGGCGGAATGGACCCCTCGCGGATCCACCTGCTGCTCCAGGCGCACGAGCGCCGACCCCGAGTGCCCGGTATGAATGGGGGGGTGCTGCGCAGCATGGAAATTGGCCCCCCCTGTGGCGAAGTGGCGGTCTGAGACGACACCCGGGTTCGGGATGACCGGCTTCGGGTTGCTGCGAAGGAGCGTGTTGATCAGGCTCGTAAGCTTCGAGGGAGTTGACGCGGCAACTGGCGCGGCAGCTCGTGGCGGCACCTTCCCGCGATGAACCACCATAGGCTGGGCACCAGATCCCTCCGGTTGTTGCCACGTGGAGGAATGCGACGCTCCCCAGTGAGAGTGCACGGTGGCGGCCGGACTGGCGTAACCTGACCCGGGGGAGTGAACCGGGGGTTCCGCCCACCCGGTTTGCGAGGGGTGAACGGAATTCCAGTCGTTGCCAGGCCCCGCAGAATGCAAAAACTGGTGCCCTGGGGGTGTCGGTTGATGCTGGTGGTACCACTGAGGGGACCCCCCCGCTGGCGGCATTGCTGAGGGGGGGTAAAGGTCGCCTCGAGGAGGAACCCCTTGGTTGGGGTGCCAAAGGTGGGTCGCCTGAGAGGGATGCACTTGGCTGCGCACGGAGTTTGGAGCACCTGGGAAGGGAACGGCGTGGGGGGGATCCCTCGAATATAGACCGCCCGGTGAAGGAGGGGTCTGGCCCGGGGCATAGGGAGCCACGCCATGGTACTGGCCCACATAACTCGTAGCCCCCGGCGAGACTAAGTTGTCGGTAAACAGGGTCTGGCTTCCCGCGGCAACGAGGTGGGTGGGGGAGAAGTTCTGTTGCGCGGCCTCGTCGCGTGCGCGCCCCAAGAAAACATCGGCTGCGGGAACTGCCGGACCCGAATAAACACTGTGGTACAAAGGACGGCCCTCCAACCCTGGGGCGGGGAACCCGCCGTTGCCCGGGGACTCTGCTCGCCAGAACTCCTCCCACTGATTTGGCAACAGGCGCGCCCCGTCACGCCCGACGCCGACGGCCGCCGGACCGGACAATTCCCCGTACATCTCCATGCTGCGAGGGTCCGGCACGGGAGTCGTGCGGACCAAATCTCCGGGCAGGTAGACAGGAAGGGCGTCGATGCCTCCGAAACGACCGGGGGAGAGGTTATCGGGCTCGGGGAATTGCAAACCGCCGGAACCCCGTGAGGGAAACTCTCCTGAGCTGGCCGGTGCGCCATTCGCTGAGTCCCCATGGAGCAAATTGCTCGCCTCCGAGCCCGCGCCTGGACGGTTGGGCGACCCGCGCGCCGGCTGCGACCCCCATCCCTGACCTCCATTCTCGTCTCCGTCCAAATCAAGCCGCGTCCGCTCGCCGTCCATTGGGAGGCCGTCAAACGCCCCTTTCTCCAGGTCCGAGGACACGCTGCCCAGAAACTCGTCCAAATCGTCCAACTCCTTCAAGTCGGCCGGCTGCAGGCCCCCGGGATCGTCCCCGATAGCGACAGTCGAGTGCGTACCGGCACCGCCGTAAGCCGGGACGGCAACTAGAGAGGGCAGCCCGCCGCGCGCTGCTCGCCCGCTCGATTGTCGCGCCAAGTGCACCATTGCCCGCTTCCGACCGCCCGGTGTCCGCCCGTTCTTGCGCCCTGCCCCGCCGGACGGGGTCGCCTTCGCTCGCGGCACGCCCCTCGCACGCTTCGTCCCACTCCCCCCTTCTCGCCCCTCTTCGTCACGCGCCTCTTCCTCTCGCAACACCTCCCCCGCGGGCAGGACCTCGTCCTTCGACCCCTGTTCGGATTTCTTCTTCTTCTTCCAAAGCTCGTGCGGACCGTCCGGACCGACGGCCCTCCAGTCCCGGTTAGGGCCCGCTTTCTTGAGCCCCGCTTTCCCCCGGTCTCCGTACCCAGCGTCCCGGGCCCTTTTCGCCAGCGCCTCGAAGCAGCAGTTGAGCCCGGCCCACGTGCCCACGCTGCTGGCCAACGGGTGCCACGCCGCCGCGACGAGCGCGTCGCGGAGGTCTTTGATGTCCTGCCGCCCCCAGTGCGTCGCTTGGATGAAGTCGAAGATCGACTGGAGGACGTGGACCAGCTGGTCTAGCGTCATGCTCTGGGTGCGGCCAGCGTACGCATCGGCGGGTCCCGGGAAGTAGGCGGGGACCTGCAAGTGAGCAATGATGAGCTTTGGCTAATAGTAAACTAACATAAAAATTCTCTAATAGTAAACTAACCAGCCTGTGACGGACCGTGGGGTTTGTTTGGGGGGTTTAGGGTGGGTAAGCGTGTGGAGCAGGTGGTACCGCGGGTTTTGAGTTCTTAGTGGCAGCGTAGGAGCTTGCTACTGCTAGAGCTTATTGCTGCTGATTTCAGGAGACACATAGTGGGGCGGGAGCTGCAATGACGTCAAGAGGACCAGCGATTGGAGCAGAGGCTACGTCAGCCTGGCTGGGGCGAAACACCGTTGGAGATCCTCAAGCAGATCACTCCATTGACTCACCATTTGTCAGCAAGAGCAAAATCAGGAAGGGGGTCTTCTGAGAGGCCATGCTGACCCCTGCATACTGTAGCGTTGGCTTACCGTGGGGTTGAACACCAAAAATCGCAAACAAGAAACTACTTCTTCCTCGAATATTAAAAGCAGGAAAAGGCAAGTCAGAGGAACCAGTACGTGGAGGAAGTGTGCTTGAGTGGCAATGGGTCTCCTAGGTCTGATAAAAGCCTGTCAAGAATAACTATTACAAGCAAGTCAGCTCATTCAAGGGGGATATCCTGCCAAATGGCGCCCCTTGCTTCACCCTTCTTTATTCTTTCCAGAGTCTTTTGATGGCAGGCCCAAGAGAAGCACGTACATCAGACTTGTTCACAACACAAATTGCAAAATCTGATAAAGAACATGGCAGGTGAGGTCCCCCTCACAAACAGCTAGAACTAGCTGTCCTTAAAAGGAAGCTTCATTTTGGGATTAGGACTTGGCAACCAAGGTATTTACGAAATTGCTGGGGAATTGGGCTTTTTGGTTGGACATTTCCACTATCAGTGATGTGTTGCTTAGTGACAAACCCTTTGACAAGTGTCAAGTTTCTGCCATTGCGTCGGCTCCTCTTTGCACCGCACCATCTTCTTGATCACAGGACAGGTTAAGAGAAACCTACTTACAGTGCTAGGGTCCGTCTTGGCCTTGGACCTGGGGAAACTGTGCCCAATGGTGTCATTAAGGATCCCGATGAAAGCCGCCACAATCGGGTTGAGCTCCACGTGCTTTGCCGTCATCTGAGCGAGCCAATCCGCTGTTTGCAGGTCTGGGTTGGACTCATCGATGACCTTCTCTCCCCTGCACAAAATGGTCGAAGGTCTCAACACGTGTGGGGCTCACATTCCTGGGGCTGCGGCTACTGTTTTCAAGGTCTACATCTTCAGGTTTTGTCGTCGCATTTGCAAGAGCAACCGGATGCCTGAATCTGGACGTCACTGCTGTCGACTCCGTTATAGGTCAAGCCCCCAAGGGATTGAAAAAACCGGAAGCCGATGCTTGATCAGTTTCAGTTGCTTGCTTCATCAACTATCGCCTGAGCACGTAATCGCTAAGCTAACAGCCAGAAAAGATGGCATTCTGTGGCATGTCTTGGCGCTATCGGGCCAAGCAAATCTTGACAAGTAAGATCTGGAAAAAGCCCGGCAGAACTGGTGACCTAAAATGGGGAAGCCATTGTAAAATTGATCTAGTATGATTGCTGAAGTTTTTCGCTCTTCTGCTCAACAAAATGGGAAGACAGAGAATATCCTTTGTTTCACACAATATTTGGGACCTCTCGTTACACTTGCAGCATTCTGGTGCAAGAGGGGCAGACGACACCATCAAGTGAACAGTTACCCCTGGGCTTTACATGAAACCTAAACGGAGGGTTTACCCACTTGGCACCGGCACTGCATCCGTACCATTCTAGACTCCCAACCATCCCCAACTGTCCAGCACTATGTCCTTATTGTTCAGCGCTTATGTGCGTTGAGTATTGGGATACTCAGGACTTACCATGCTTTGGCCGCCTCAATAATTGCTTTCAGCCACCACTCAAAAGGTTGCGCGCAGATCCTGAGACTGCACCGCCCGCGCTCAACAGACACCCAGGCTTGACCCCCGCCCGCCGGGCCCCCAAGCTCGTGTGTCAGAACGTCGCCCAGCTGCGACAGAGGCACAGCCTCCATCCTGGCAAGCTCCCCAGCTTCAGCTTGTAAGGGCTGCCAGTGGGGATGAATGTGCCTCAGAAACCCATGACTGTGCCTGCGCCCTTGGGTCAAAGAAACCTGCATCACACAATGCAAGGTCTTGTTGACAGAAAGGGGGAGAGAATCTGGCACAACTGGGGTTACCACTCTTGCATTCTGGATTCGAAGGGCTTGCTTTTTCAGTGTCAATCAACACTGCTTTGCGGCCTTTGCCCTCGTCCAGAAATCCGACGTTTTCAAAGGCTGCCTTGTTGACTAATGGTTGTTCTTGAAAGCTGGAAAGCTTAAATCTTCTTGTCCTGCATCGATACCACCACAAATAATGCCTGCATTGTGCTTCAAAAGTTGCAACAAAAGCGAGAAGTTTATGATGACACTGGCAAATTTGCATTCCAGGGCTTTAGAGCTACTTATAATGAGAACAATGTTTGCACACAGATTGGCAGACTTTTGGAATACAAGCCATAATGTGACCAAACTTAGAGAACAGAATGACAGCAGCATTGAATGACGTTCAAAATGCTTACCCTGATAGCAGTCTCCCTATCTCAACTTGATTGGGCACCTCTCAAACCCTCAACGAAGAGCAGGCTGACGTGAGACCGAAGGCTGCAGCTCAGCAATGTGGATTCATGCGGCAAAACTGGCTTAGATTACCTCTTTCGAAAAGAAGCAACATTTTAAAGAAAGGCTCGTGAAGCAATCGAGAAAATCTGCTGCTAGACCTGGCAACTTGTGCAATGTGCTCCCCTTCTTTAGAGCAAGAGAACAGCTCGCCCGCCAAAACCGCGTTGGAACATATGGTGTGCCGCACTGTCAGGGGCCCTCAGCCCGTGCTTGCCCGCCATCTGTCAGCGCAAGGCGGTGAGCGATCCCCCTCTGAAAAGTTTTGGGCGATCCCCCCAGTGAATGCACACGTGTCAGGCACCGATTCGTCAGAATTGAATGGCGCTCATATATTTGAATTTCAGTTCCGAAGTTCACGAATCACCAATATCAAACTGGGTATGCATATTGGCTTGCCTCTTCCCGTAGGGAAGTAGGGCAACCATACATATTGGGTTTTTTGCCGCTGTACGGCGCCGCTGCGCGGGCCCGCAAATCGACCTGCTCGGCTTGGCCCTGTTCGACGATAAAACTCGGCGTACGGCATAGAAAAATGGCCGGATAGCGGTGCGAAAGGTTTTTCGACTGGGCCCGCATGCGGCGCAGTTGCCAGTTTACGAATCGAACATTCTGGTACGGCCGGTGAATGGTGCAACTCTTCGTGTCGTACTTCGTGCATGTTCGCAGACTTCGACGCCGAAGTTTCGTGCGTACTTGGTCGTTGGTGTCACGATTAATAAATCCGGACCGTACAAACGAGCTTTCGACGAACGATACCAAATCAGATTGTCCACCGTTGATCGGATAGATAGTCAACGAAAAGAGGCAAGCCCTCGCCGTCATACAGACGGCGGCCCATGTATGATATAGGTACCTACATATGATTTATACCGTATGCACGAGTACCAGCTACCTACGGTAGTATAGGTAATATTGGTGACTCTGTTCATACATGATCGGGCCGTCTGGCGACGCCGACGTCGGGGCCGAGGGCTTGCCTCTTCCGAATTATCGAACGGCTGGAAATTAGCACACAGGGACGACCGGGGCCCCTGCAATTGAAGCCGGACGGCGGAGTTGGCCGCCAGGGCGGAGATTCCGGTATGCTTATTCCGGGCCCATCCGGGGCCCGGGACGTATACCGGTACCCAGGTCTCAGGCTCCTCCCGACCAGTT